GAACACTTCTTCCTTGTCTTCCTCCACAACCTCTTCCTGGTTTTTTACCAATGAGACGGTGAGATAGGACAAGCAAGGCACTTTCGACTGCTTTCTGCATCGCTTCCCCTCCCCTCCTTTCTCTCACTCTCTGCCTCTGTTTTTGCTGGTCTTTCTCTCTTACTTTCTCTCTTTGTTTCTGTGTTTGTTTCCTTATGGCTCTCGTTCTTCTTCTGCCCTTCTCGGATTGTCTCTCCGCTTCTGTTGTCTTTCTCTTACTCCCTTGTCTTCTTCCTTGTGAATTGTCCTTCTTCCTTCTGAGTGATAGAGGGAGAAGGACGGGAGGCAGGAAAGGCAGGAGGAGAAGGAATAGGGGGCAAGCGATTCTTTCCAAAGCGATTCTTTCCAAGCGAACATAATAGGCGGAGAGAAGCGGAAAAAGGAATGTGTAGAAGTAGACGGGAAGGGAGGGAGGGAGAAAGAGGGATCTGGAGAGAACAATGAAAAGGAGGATGGTGAGGTGATGAGAAGAGTGCCCTTTGCATGCCCTGAACTCTCCGTTCCTTTCATTTCTCCTTCCTTATGAAGATGAATAGGGTAAGAGAAGAGGAAGAAGGCGAAGGGCAAGGAAGTAAGAGAGGCGAGCGAAGGAGGAATTCTCCTTTCTTCTCCGAACCGTCTTCCCGCATCTTACCGCTTCCTTTCTGTTGTCTGCTCTTCTTTCCTTATGTCTTCGCAGAGCCCTTCCTCCTTATCCTTTTCTTTCCTCTGGTCATTCAAAAAGGAAACGATGAGGAGACGCGAACTGATTCTCCTTGCTCCTTCTTACCACACTCTGCTTCTCTACATCCCCCTGCTTTCTTTATACTCGGTTTGGTGTTCATGTCCTCAAGAGGCCCCCTTAGGGAGGAAGTTGGTGGCCTCCAGAAAGTTGTGGAAGTGTCTGAAGGCGCCTACAAGCCTCCTCGAAGCCCTCGCGAGGCCCGGAGTCCTTTGAGATACGGCAACACTGGTACTCTCTCGCTTCCTCTTCTGTGTCCTTCTTCCTAGTCTTCCTCGTTTCCCTTTCTTTCGCACTCGACTTCCCCCACTCTCTGTCTATGACTTTCTCTTATCCACTTTCACCTATTGCCTCGCTTCAGTCCATGCCCTAGCCTTCACTCCTTTCCAACCCCTTCTGACATGAGCAAGCATCAGGAGAATGAGAGGAGGAGGTGAGAGGGACGAAGAACAGCTCTCTCCGCTACTTTCTCTCATCCGCTTTGACCCCTTCCCTTTCCTAGCTCCATGCGTGCCCTTTGCTAAGAGAAAAATAAGAGAGAAAAGAGGAAGAACAGAGGAGACAGGGGCTTCCGCCCTTTCATTACGTAGCTTTGGCTTACGCTTCTTTCTTGTGAATCGTCCTTCTTCCTTCTGAGTGATAGAGGGAGAAGGACGGGAGGCAGGAAAGCCAGGAGGAGAAGGAATAGGGCAAGCGATTTTATCAAAGCGAACATAATAGGCGGAGAGAAGCGGAAAAGGGAATGTGCAGAAGTAGACGGGAAGGGAGGGAGAGAGAAAGAGGGATCTGGAGAGAACAATGAAAAGGAGGATGGATGAGGTGATGAGAAAGAGTGCCCTTTGCATGCCCTGAACTCTCCGTTCCTTTAATTTCTCCTTCCTTATGAAGATGAATAGGGTAAGAGAAGAGGAAGAAGGCGAAGGGCAAGGAAGTAAGAGAGGCGAGCGTAGGAGGAATTCTCCTTTCTTCTCCGAACCGTCTTCCCGCATCTCACCGCTTCCTTTCTGGTGTCTGCTCTTCTTTCCTGATGTCTTCGCAGAGCCTTTCCTCCTTCTTATCCTTTTCTTTCCTCCGGTCATTCAAAGAGGAAACGATGAGGAGACGCGAACTGATTCTCCTTGCTCCTTCTTACCACACTCTGCTTCTCTACACCCCCCTGCTTTCTTTATACTCGGTTTGGTGTGCATGTCCTCGGGAGGCTCCCTTAGGGAGGAAGTTGGTGGCCTCCAGAAAGTTGTGGAAGTGCCTGAAGGCGCCTACAAGCCTCCTCAAAGCCCTCGCGAGGCCCGGAGTCCTTTGAGATACGGCAACGCTGGTACTCTCTCGCTTCCTCTTCTGTGTCCTTCTTCCTAGTCTTCCTCGTTTCTCTTTCTTTCGCACTCGACTTCCCCCGACTTTCTCTTATCCACTTTCACCTATTGCCTCGCTTCAGTCCATGCCCTAGCCTTCACTCCTTTCCAGACCCTTCTGACATGAGTAAGCATCAGGAGAATGAGAGGGGGAGGTGAGAGGGACGAAGAACAGCTCTCTCCGTTACTTTCTCTCATCCGCTTTGACCCTCTCTGTCTATGACTTTCTCTTATCCACTTTCACCTATTGCCTCGCTTCAGTCCATGCCCTAGACTTCACTCCTTTCCAACCCCTTCTGACATGAGCAAGCATCAGGAGAATGAGAGGAGGAGGTGAGAGGGACGAAGAACAGCTCTCTCCGCTACTTTCTCTCATCCGCTTTGACCCCTTCCCTTTCCTAGCTCCATGCGTGACCTTTGCTAAGAGAAAAATAAGAGAGAAAAGAGGAAGAACAGAGGAGACAGGGGCTTCCGCCCTTTCATTACGTAGCTTTGGCTTGCGCTTCTTTCTTGTGAATAGAGAATGAAGAGTTCACTTCGTCCATCTTCATGCCGATTCCTTTGTCATGACTTAAAATTCTGTGTCTTCTTGACAAACGGCAGAGTGGATAGGCAGGAAGAGGAACGGGAATGAGAGAAAGACACAGGACGAGAAATACACAAGACAGATTCTTGATGGTTCCCGGCGCGAGAGGGACGGGAGGACATTGTGATAGACCCTAAAACCAGCACGGAGAACGTCGCCTGGCATGCCCGAGTTGTGAGAGCGTAAAACCATCTAAATCCTCATAAACTCCAAACCTTAGATCTTCCATAGTATAATGACCCCGGTAAACCATAGTTAGGAGCTAAGACCCTAGACCCGTAAACTCCTGTCGAGACCTTTACACTGTACACGCTTCGGCCTCCCGATGTAACCGTCGTGCCAGACCTTGTCGTCGCCGTGTTGAACCCAGTCGTCGTCGTGCTAAACCGAGTCGTCGTCGTCCTTGTCGCCGTGGTGTTGTTGCAGTTTAAATACAAAGCCCAGCAGGATTGCCAAATAGACCCTAAAGGTCCATGCCACATAGCCGTATAGCCTATACATTAGGTTATAGAATACGTTCTATAAGATAATTTTTACGTTCATGTTGATGCCTTGTACAATCCCTTATACAACGCGTTATGGGATACCCGATAGAGAGCCCAAAACAACGTTACATACTAGGCCTTTTATAGGCCTTGTAGAATATCATTTGCAATCCCTTACAGACTAGCTTACGGAATATACACAATGTCTATAGGAAGTCCTAAAGATAACCCTATGGAATATTCTATAACATACCCGTAAAATGCACCATAGAATGCCTTGTAGAATACTTTATAGATAACGGGTTAATGGGAGGAAAATCAGGAGCAGAATGCTCTGCGCTATACCTGCTATGTGCCCAATAACAAGAGCATATAGAACACCTTACACGATACTATTTTTTTACATCTTGAAGGTTTTCATATAGATACCCATAGACTATAGAAGCCTTTTATACCTTTTATGAATCTTGTTGAATACCCGTTGGTGATTTCGCCAATATTTACAGACCAAAGAATGAATGCTCAGCTTGACTCAGATGTTCTCCACCACTTGCCATCATTTTGAAAAACAGCTCACCAACACGAAGCACTCGAGATCCTGGTAAACATGTTCGGCACATAAAGCACAAGCTTCATGAACAAGTGACATAAGGAAAAAACATTACAACAAAGCTTTAAAGATGCGAACAAGTGCCATCGGGTAGGTAGCCGACAAACAGTTCGTTTTATGTAGGTTCTGTAGGCACGGCTTGGTTCTGAGGTTCTTCACTTTAGAATATGTGCTCTTTTTAGGAAGCATTATGACTATGAGCATCAGCATCGTGTAAACAAGTTGAACTCAGACACGACGTGTAGAGTCTCAAATCTCTGCGATCATCTCGTCGGGAAGCGACGACGCGCGCTCAAATACCGCATCCTATTTCCCGATCGAGAATACAGAACGCAGAATGTGTAAACTGAGCACTTGGCTTCGAACAGCTTCAGACAGTGTGCCCGGAGCCGAACGGAAAAACCTAACAGAAAAAAACCAACTGAAAAAGCCTAACTGAAAAACCTAACTGAAAAAACCTAACTGAAAAAACATAAAAAACCTAAACTCGGGAAGTCCTTCAGCGAGATATCCATGACAAGACTCTCGAGATTTAGGTTTTTAGGCTTTTTCAGTTAGGTTTTTTCAGTCAGGTTTTTCAGGTAGGTTTTTTCAGTTAGGTTTTGTCAGTTAGGTTTTTCAGTTGGGCTCCCTAAGCCCCCAAACCCTTGCCCTGGGCCCTTGGAGAACAACTGTGTAACGACGTTGTCGACGGCGCGTACATGAAGCCAACAAACGGTGGATCCATGGGGGGGGGGGGGCACCATATATATATATATATATATATATATATATATACATTATATCTGTTTCAAGGGGTCTTATGTGCTTTTGTCTGGTTGTAAACGGGGTTCATCATGCTGTTATGAGGATTCTAGGGTAGGCAATGAGTATGGATTTCGGAGTTTCTGGCTCTATCAAGGATCCTTACGGCGCTTATCCGGATGGTGTAGAGGTAACACAGCGCTAAACATGGCCTCATGCGGGGTCTTCTAGGGTTTTGCATTGGTCTACAGCCGCAGCAGCAGCAGTAGTAGCGGCAGCTGCAGCAGGAGTATTACTGGTAGTAGGAAGGAGTATAAGTCGTCGTCCTCCTGCGTTTACTGCCGCTGCTGCTGCTGCTGCTGCTGCTGCTGCTACGACACTCCTGCCTAATGTGGCGACTAGCATGAACGTAGCAACAACGAAGCACACGCCATGGGGGATCAGAATGCAGCAAGGCCCCAGGCACCAATGATGCCAGCGCTGTTCAAGGGCTTGGGCTTGGACTCCAAGCCTCCGCATCGTCGTTGAAACCAACTTAAGGGACGTTGTACCCAGAATTACGGCTGATGATCTATATCCTTTAAGGGGTTATTTTAAGGGTTTAGGGTTTAGGGATATAAAACATGCATTACTCAGAATAAGGAATATACCACAATTCACAGAGTTTAGGGTCCTTAAAGTAATGCCGGATTTATATCATCAACAATAGTCCTCGGTGTCGATTTCGACAGCCACGAGCATTCTTGATAATTAGGGCTCTATACTAATTAAACGACAAGGGAAGTTAAACAATACCTCAAATCGATGCCTAGTAGTTTGGTTCATAGGAACTGTGAAGGGTGCTTCTGCTGTAGGATTCTAGGTCATAGTGACCGTGGGATGAAGGAAGGCTAGGTATCAACAACAACCTTGTTCTGGCTCTGAAATGGGTCAGTGACGAAGTTGTCGGCGGATTTCGTACAGGATCCTATCCTATGCAAGTGACAGCATTGGAAGTTTTGGAGTGAAGGTCCTAAACATCGCAAGCGCGCTTCTGCCGAGCCCCCCAAAAAGATTATGCCCTAAACCCTACACCCTAAACCCCCAATCCCTGATAACTATACCAGGATTATTTCCATCCCCAAAGGTTGACGGTTTTAAACTCAGCCCCTCAGGTTCGAAGCCTTCCATCGAATCTCAGTCTTCGCGGATCCTCAAGGGAGTGAGGGGGGAGTATAACCCAGGTTGAAAGGGTTAGGGTTTAGGGTTGATTTAGTTTTAAAAAACCTACACCCTCAACGCTAAACCCTGACAGTTCCAGATTACACCCTAGACTTGTCGCTAGGGCTCCTTAAGCTTCTCATGAGGATGCCACAATACCCAGAGACTCCAAGATCCCTCAATTAAGCCTTAATCCTTGTTAGGGCTGCTCCCGTAATTTAACGGGATTTGGATTCTCGAGGGAAAGCTGTTGGCCCCTAAACCCTAAGCCCAAACCTTTCCCCGAACCCTAAACCCAAAACCCCCCTTATGAAGGGTTTTTCAATATTCCGTATGAAGGGGTTTGGCGAAGCCCGAAACCCTCAACCCTAAACCCTCCAAGTCAGGATCTCATAACAGCTCTTGGCCTACACCCCCTAAGCCCTAAACCCTGTATAAACCTAAACCCCAAATCCAAACCCCCCAAACCCCAAAACGCCCTAAAATAACTGCTCTAAACCCCAAAACGCCCTAAAATGACTGCTCTAAACCCCCCAAACCCCCCAAAAAACGCCCTAAAATAACTGCTCTTGGCCTGGTATCTTGAAGCACTGTCGCTCGGCGAAGAACATGTACCTCGCCCGCACCGCACAGCCGAACGGTCCAAGGGCAAAAGGAGGGACCCTTAATAAGGACCCCTAGGTATATACCCTTAATATAGCTATCATATACTTTTCCCCTTTGAAACGGTTTAGGAGTGGCCACGGCTATGGACCCTGATTCCTACACGCCGTGGTTTTCCCTACGCCCTGACATTATGAAGTTTAGAATGCACAGCTCAAATCGAAACCTTAGTGGGTGTTGAAATATCCCCATACAAACACCCAAAACAAAACGCACCCATCCCTACGGCAAGAACCAACGAATCATGTACATGAGCTGTAAACCCTAAACCCTAAACCCTTGAACCCCAAACCCTAAACCCTCCAACCCTAAACCCTGAAACCCTGGGATATAAGCACTAAACCCTGAAACCCTAAACTCCCACACCCCTAAACCCTAAAGCCCTACACCCTACATGATGTGCTTCCTGGCTGCTGCATCGCCTTGGACTGAGAGCCCCTGAAGAGCTTACCTTCGCCAGCGGTGGCAAGCGAAGCAGCGAGAGGGTTTAGGGTTTTAGGGTTTAGGGTTTAGGGTTTAGGGCACTTCCCCTGACAACCCTAAGCTTTTGTTGAACACCTGGGCTTGAGGCTTAAGGTTGCAGGCTGAGGATTTAAAACTCAGGGTTTACGGTTTGAGGTTTAATTACGACTTAGGGGTGGATCCTAGACCTTAAGCCCTAAACCCCAAACTTTAAGCTTAAAGTCGCAATCCCAAACCCAAAGAAACCCACAGAAACCGTAAACCCCTCCCAACACTTCTCCACCCTGTACTTAAAGGATCATGGGACTTAGTAACTAGGGTTATAAAGAAGGTAACTACACTTACAACCCCAATTAGGGTACTTATAACCTTATTTACTAAGGCCCCTAACCCCCCAAGCAGGCCAAGTTGCCAAACTCCATGCCCTCCACATTCCTGGGTCAACTTCTTGGTTTCGGGCTGGGGTTTAGGGCTTTAGGGTTTAAGGTTTAGGGTTTAAGGTTTAGGGTTTAGGGTTTCGGGTTTGGTATAGGGTTTAGGGTTTCGGGTTTGGTATAGGGTTTAGGGTTTCGGGTTTGGTATAGGGTTTAGGGTTTCGGGTTTAAGGTTTAGGGTTGAGAGTTTAAGGCTTCGGGTTTATGTTTTCGGGGCCTAAGCAGCGTTTTGGGGCTCTGCAGGGCTTTACCCGGGCTTTATACGGTTTTATGAAGGTTTGCACACCAAGCTGCCATCTAGATTCTCCAGCAAGTTAGGAATACAAAAAATAACAACACACAAACTATCCGATTGCCTAAGGTTTAAAATGTTGACACCTTGTATCCCTAGACTCCGCGAGGCTCAGAACTCATCTAGACGCACTGTCCACCCACTAAACCCTGACTCATAAACGACCACCTGGAATCCCGAAATTCCTAGGGCCCTCAACTTGTGGAGTGGCACACCCTTGACCCTCGCCCTTTTTCTAACAACCTGGAATCCCTGAATCCGCTCAAAACCCTTTGAGAACTCCGCTGAATCCCTAAGACTCTGTCCTCATACCAGCCCACAGTCTGTAAACCCTAAACCTATATCAACCCCAGCCTACAGCTTAGGGCTTAAAGTTTAGGGGTTCCACCTAAATCCCTAAACCCTAAACCCAACCCTAAACCCTATATATCAAATCATGAACCCTAAACCCTGAACTTGAACACTAAACTCTGAACCTGAGTCGTAAGCCAAGAGTCATGCCATCCACCTGAATTCCTCAACCCGAAACCCTGACCCCTTATACCCTAAACCCTTAAGCATTCACCCTAAACCATAAGACAGGGGCCTTAATAATTGGAATCGGGTTTTGGGGCCCATTAGACTATCATTAGAATAAGGACCCCCCAAAATAGTATTGGCAATTAATTCGGACCCCTATACTAAACCCCATACTAGCCCTTATAGCAATACTCACAGACCCCCTTTAAAAAAAAAGGAACCCTTTAAAGGAACCCTGGGAGTCCTAAGCCAAGAGTCATGCCATCCCTGAAGTCCTGTGTCGTGGCTGCCTCGATGCAGGTGATGATCGCCTGTGGCGCTGCTTCGCCGGCCCTCATCTTCTGGTACTCCTGGGGTTTAGTTTAGGGTTTAGGAGTTTAGGGTTTAGGAGTTTAGGGTTTAGGGTTTAGGAGTTTAGGGTTTAGGCTTTAGGAGTTTAGGGCTTAGGGTTTAGGAGAAAAGGGTTTAGGGTTTAGGATTCCTTTGAGGGATATGTAGGGTGTCGGATTCCTCCAAGGGATATGTAGGGTTTGGGGTTTAGGGTTTAGGATTCCTTTAAGGGGTATGTAGGGTTTAGGGTTTAGGGTTTAGGATTCCCTTAAGGGATATGTAGGGTTTAGGGTTTAGGGTTTTCTGCTGTTTAAGGGTTCTTTTACAGGGTTTCTTTGCGGGTTCTCTTGAGAGATCTAAACGGGCTTAGGGTTTAAGACTTCAGGGTTTAAGGCTTAATGTTTGAGGTTAGAGGAGGCGGCTTAGCAGGGTGTGGTTTGGTTTCTGTTGAAATTTTGTGAAGGGGTTTGTAAGGGTTCAATATGGCTTTACAACATGCTTATACAGCTTTTATACGGATTCAAGAAGTCTCTACAGGGTTTTATCGTGGCGTTGTGTGGTTTTGAGGAACGTAAGGAAAGAATGTAAATGTAAGGTAACTGTTATCAGACTTCGACATACCGGGATGCTCGCTGATATCAACATACCTGACAGCAGCACGCCGCGCGAAGACTCGTGATCATTGGCAGACAACAGGAAGGTAAGTTATAAGCAAAGAACACGAAAAGACAGGCAACAGTGTCAGGACATGATACAAAATGTAAACAGAGACATCTAACGATCACATACTATCATACACAATCATGTGGGTCGTTGTCAAAATTATGGCACCTTTTCGGGTACCCTCAATATTATGTGCCGTATTATAATAAGAACCCAAAAAGGGACCAGAGTTTCGACAACCACCCAATGTGTAAGACCATCTGAGGATGTAGAATGCAAGAGTGTAACCCCGCAAACCCAGCCTTCCGCTTGGCTGCCAGTGCGTCCGCATTCGTGGTCCTTGCCCTGCCATTGCCTGCATGTACATGCACGCTCGGAGTGATCGGAAAACACAGGAAGAAGCAACGCAGGTACTGTACAGCAATAGCACCAACGGCAGAACAAAGGGAGCAACACAAAAAACACAACAGCAACAGCAAACACTGAAACAACTGCAACTGCAACTGCGCCCGAGTTCGCGGCCGTGTCCGCGCCCACATCGGCACCGGCAGCTACAGCGGCAGCAGCACTAGCCCCACCCCTGCAATAGCCACCAACCAACAGCCAACACCCAGCAACCAAAAACGCAACCAAAACATCAACCACGACACTAACCCACCACCACAACCTCAACACCCAAACCAAAACCAACACCACCAACACCAACAACAGCAACTACAACAGCAACAACGACAACGACAACGACAACGACAACGACAACGACGACAACAACGACAACGACAACAACAACAACAGCAACAACAACAGCCACAACAGCAACAACAACAACAACTACTACTGCTACTACTCCTGCTACTACTCCTACTACTACTGCTACTACTACTACTACTACTACTACTACGA